GTTCCTTTTCGGGCCCTCCCCTACCCAGCCCCCCGGCGTGCTGCCTGTCCTTGCAGGCTGTATCGGGTCTACGGGAAGAAGAATGTTAAGCTGGAGCCTGTGGCGCTGAAGGCTGCCTCGCTGGACCCCCGGTGAGTGCGGAGGGAGGTCGGGACGCTCGGCAGAGCCCCGGCAGGGAAGTGCGGTCGGACGTGCCTCTCGTGGGACACGCAGGGGGCTGGCCTGCTGGGATAGGGGTGGTCACCTGCAGGCCCCCGTCTGGGAGCAGAAGCTGCAGAGATCAGTGATCCAGCCTGGCCCCGGGTGACCGTGGCCAAGGTAAGAGCCACGAGAACGGTTCCCTGGTGTGGGGCTGGGGGGGCTAGGGGGTGGGCCAAGCAGTGCCCCCCCAGCAGAACGGTTCCCTGGTGTGGGGCTGGGGGGGCTAGGGGGTGGGCCAAGCAGTGCCCCCCCAGCAGAACGGTTCCCTGGTGTGGGGCTGGGGGGGCTAGGGGGTGGGCCAAGCAGTGCCCCCCCAGCAGAACGGTTCCCTGGTGTGGGGCTGGGGGGGCTAGGGGGTGGGCCAAGCAGTGCCCCCCCAGCAGAACGGTTCCCTGGTGTGGGGCTGGGGGGGCTAGGGGGTGGGCCAAGCAGTGCCCCCCCAGCAGAACGGTTCCCTGGTGTGGGGCTGGGGGGGCTAGGGGGTGGGCCAAGCAGTGCCCCCCCAGCAGAACGGTTCCCTGGTGTGGGGCTGGGGGGGCTAGGGGGTGGGCCAAGCAGTGCCCCCCCAGCAGAACGGTTCCCTGGTGTGGGGCTGGGGGGGCTAGGGGGTGGGCCAAGCAGTGCCCCCCCAGCAGAACGGTTCCCTGGTGTGGGGCTGGGGGGGCTAGGGGGTGGGCCAAGCAGTGCCCCCCCAGCAGAACGGTTCCCTGGTGTGGGGCTGGGGGGGCTAGGGGGTGGGCCAAGCAGTGCCCCCCCAGCAGAACGGTTCCCTGGTGTGGGGCTGGGGGGGCTAGGGGGTGGGCCAAGCAGTGCCCCCCCAGCAGAACGGTTCCCTGGTGTGGGGCTGGGGGGGCTAGGGGGTGGGCCAAGCAGTGCCCCCCCAGCAGAACGGTTCCCTGGTGTGGGGCTGGGGGGGCTAGGGGGTGGGCCAAGCAGTGCCCCCCCAGCAGAACGGTTCCCTGGTGTGGGGCTGGGGGGGCTAGGGGGTGGGCCAAGCAGTGCCCCCCCAGCAGAACGGTTCCCTGGTGTGGGGCTGGGGGGGCTAGGGGGTGGGCCAAGCAGTGCCCCCCCAGCAGAACGGTTCCCTGGTGTGGGGCTGGGGGGGCTAGGGGGTGGGCCAAGCAGTGCCCCCCCAGCAGAACGGTTCCCTGGTGTGGGGCTGGGGGGGCTAGGGGGTGGGCCAAGCAGTGCCCCCCCAGCAGAACGGTTCCCTGGTGTGGGGCTGGGGGGGCTAGGGGGTGGGCCAAGCAGTGCCCCCCCAGCAGAACGGTTCCCTGGTGTGGGGCTGGGGGGGCTAGGGGGTGGGCCAAGCAGTGCCCCCCCAGCAGAACGGTTCCCTGGTGTGGGGCTGGGGGGGCTAGGGGGTGGGCCAAGCAGTGCCCCCCCAGCAGAACGGTTCCCTGGTGTGGGGCTGGGGGGGCTAGGGGGTGGGCCAAGCAGTGCCCCCCCAGCAGAACGGTTCCCTGGTGTGGGGCTGGGGGGGCTAGGGGGTGGGCCAAGCAGTGCCCCCCCAGCAGAACGGTTCCCTGGTGTGGGGCTGGGGGGGCTAGGGGGTGGGCCAAGCAGTGCCCCCCCAGCAGAACGGTTCCCTGGTGTGGGGCTGGGGGGGCTAGGGGGTGGGCCAAGCAGTGCCCCCCCAGCAGAACGGTTCCCTGGTGTGGGGCTGGGGGGGCTAGGGGGTGGGCCAAGCAGTGCCCCCCCAGCAGAACGGTTCCCTGGTGTGGGGCTGGGGGGGCTAGGGGGTGGGCCAAGCAGTGCCCCCCCAGCAGAACGGTTCCCTGGTGTGGGGCTGGGGGGGCTAGGGGGTGGGCCAAGCAGTGCCCCCCCAGCAGAACGGTTCCCTGGTGTGGGGCTGGGGGGCCCGGGCAGGGCCAGGCAGGCCCCCTCTCCCCCCAGCAGAACGGATCCCTGGGGCTGGGGGGACTCCCTAGCGCTCTGGCTCAGCTGGAGTTGGGGACTGTCAAGAAAACGCCTCCCTTGTGTGGGGGGAGGAGCAGGGTGGGGCAAGAGGCTGGGTGGCTCCTGCAGGGAGCAGGGCTGAGCCGTACAGCTCCCTCCCCTCCTGCTTAGCTCAGGGTCCCTCTGGGGGGCAGGGGGGGGGGGGGCG